AAGAGTACTTGGTGTGGCTATAAACAACCGTTGAATGAAATGATGAATCTTTGAAGGATTTTGAAAACGGAAAAAATGATAGTCATGCCGGCCCAGCATCATCAACATTGAAAAATGCCCCGGCATGAAGTGGTTAAGGCAGTGGCAAATTTTTGAGTTGTTATAGACACCACTGGATGTGACCAGATGCATTGATCAAGTTTATCCCTTACATGCTTGATGGGGCTTAGGTTTCACTAGCCATGGTAGGAGTTCAATGCGATTGCCTTCAAGATACTGGGTAATCATTCTGGTGACATGAGGTTGTGTATTGTCAAGTTGAAACAAGGCTATGTTTGGGTATCCATTCAGAAATGGCCACACTACTGGCTCCAAAATTTCATCCTCGTATCTCTGGACACTGAGGTTAGCTTTAATAACTAACAGGTTGGTACAATCATTTGCTTTGATAGTAGCCCAGACCAGGATGCCGGGGTGCTCTAGGATATAACAGTCGAAGAATCATTCACCACAACGACAGTAAACTCAACTCTTCTGTCATTATTTCTAATACGGAAGCCTGATTCATCAGAAAATAACACTTGATTTCACATTCTCTGGATCTAGTCACAGTGTTTATGGGCCCATGCCAGCCTATGCTGATGACAATCTGACGTCAGTGGGAGACTTGTGTAAAGGCGTCTCCTTCGGAGTCCTACAGCGCAAAGTTATTTCTAACAGTCTTCAACCGTAACCTTATGAGTTGTTCATTTGGGTGTCTCCCTCACTGTAGTTTCTGCATTGCGGCGTTGATCACAGAGATGTCGCATAGTGATTTACCGATCTTGATTTGGCATCATCACTCAAGGTCTATGGTTCTTGGACGATCTGACACACTTCCAGTGCATCTTACATGATTGCCAATTCGTGGACTTGGAAATATGCAGCCATATCCCTTGCATGTCATTGCCGGCATTAAACATTCCAGTAGCACAGGCTCTGTTGAAATAACTCAGTCATGGCATTTCTCGTGTTTAGTCCATTTGCTGAAAAAATTTGGTTCCCGACTCTGTGAACCATTACACGTAGCAATCACTGGAATACATGTATTTTAAATACAAATTAGCCTATCAAAGCAAAACACACACGATTCATTGAAAATTTGTCAGACCAACATTTTCAGTGAAACATACATGTACATGTATCATCCAAGAACTCAGCTTGAAAATACAGGCAATCACTGTGGTAGTACAGGTATTTAAAATTAATTTCCACAGCATTAGATATACACACTAAAAACATACTTTGTCAACTTCCGTACTTTCCCTACCAGTCCATCTTTTCTTTTCTATTGATAAGATACCTGGATTTCTAGTCCCTACTGAAAATGTCCAATTCATTTACCTTTTGAGACCAATTTACATGTACTTAGGCGTGAGGTCAAAATACAAACGCTTTTGAAAGCGTTCAACGCTTTGTAAATGGTAAGACTCACGGACGGTCAACATCGAACAGACGAACGCTACAGCGAGGCTGGCCAAACCGTTGCAGTCGAGTACACCTTGCACTCTGCAGCTTCCAGTAAACAATGGACAGCTCATCGCATTACGGCATCATAGACTTCTGCGGTCTGGTGGATTAGTCATAACAATAGCTCTTTACTTTGCAGCTCCACAGGAGGATTTAGATCGGCAGATTGTTTTAACTTCCTGATAAAACATGTGTATTGAGTAGTTGAGTTGCGCTGTTGGTTTCCAGACCCAGTCTTTTCAGACCCCGTCTGCCCTGGACTGTCTAGCTTCACGAGCAACCCTGATAACAATGGAGTTTGTTGCTTACACAGCCATTGTTGTGAACAAAAGATCCTATTCAGGGAGAACTTCACTGACCCCGGTCAGCCTTCCTGGGCTGGCCGTGAGGATTAGTGGTTAACACCTTGTGATAGGAAGACGCAAAATCAACTGCATTCCAGGCTACAGACATTTATCTAGCTTCAGATACGTTTTGAGTGGGTATTTTATGACACCATGAAGCATCGCCTCAAGAAAATTGTTCGTGTTTAAGCGTTTTTTAGACTGGAAAATAAATGCATTTATATGGGAGTGACGGGAAATGCCAAACACGGTTGCCTCATTTTACCGCCGAATCTATCGTCTATGAAAGGAAATATTCACATAGACGCAATATGAATTTATTTGGAACTTCTGTCCCGTGTACCATATTCTTTGAAGGTAATAACAAAAAGTCAAACTCTGCATCAAATAGTGCTGCAAGTATGTGTCAAGGTTTGGTTCGGTTCAGACAGGGCTTGGACATTTTTTGCCGAACTTCGGATTGGTTGGGGTTCGGACATGTACACACATGTACAAGTACAATGCACACTGAGACATCGAAAGGCTCGCTACGATCGTGCTGCAAAGGCCTATAAAGTATTTCTACGTATAAAATTATGAATCTGCTATCTCTCCTGATCCGCGAGCAACTTTGATTTGAATACCTTTTTTTATAAACTTTTTCCCCAGAGTTTGTTTACGAGTACATTCCATATAAAGTTATCGTCGAGGGTGTGACAGTTTCCGACCGTGTTTTGCCGACCAGAAGTGGTTGTGTTCGGACCACGCTTGACTCAACAAAACGATCGCAAGATTTGTGCAAATAGAAAAAAACAGCATGCTCAATTAGGACTTTCCTCCAGTACAGAATACAAGATTAAAATCACATTTCGAGCAAATTGTGTTTTGGTTATTTTGGCGAAACAGATGGCTTTTGAAAACTACGAAAATGGCTTTCGTTGCATATCTGAGGGGGAACCTTTCCAAGGACAGCGTGCACGTGACCAAGGGGGCGATTTTCCATCGGCCTCTTTTGAAGGGATAACAGCATTTTGTTATTTGAGATCTGGCAAATTCCATTACAACGCATTCGCACTGCGATCAAACCCTTCATGGTCAAATGAAAGGCAAGTTACGCCACCGCGCGAACAAAAATCTTCTCGCGCTGCGCTGAAGCACAGCATGCACCAAACCGCTTGGTAAAATTTTCATCCGGGGATGCCTTGGATTGAGCGCGAGTCTGACTGTGATCGGCATCCAACCAAAATTCGTTTTGCACTCCATTTATGAGACCATTGGCCTAATGTGGAACGTCATTACCTTAATATGAAACGTAAGGGCGTGGCTATTGGAGATTGGCAAATAAAATAATAAATCTGAATATACATGAGCACGATTGGATGTAGTGAGAATTAGAAATGTTATGCAGCAACAATGCCGTACGTTGCATGTTCTTGGTTGATTTCTGAGTGATTCTCACTACATGCTTTTTACAACCATCTCATGATGCGGGCCATTGTAAGTATCAGTATGTTCACACACGTGTGGAGCGCGCCGTACAACTTGTTATCCATTTTTCGTTGTGTTTGTTTTTATTAAGTTTTCTTGTATTTTTGTATGTTTTCCCATGTGCCATCAATAAAATGCCTTATTAAAGCCATACATCCGAACCGAACAGTTTGGTTTGGTTCAAAAGTGCCTTGTTTGATGATTTTTGCCTCGGTTCGGTGGTTCACCGGCAGCACTAGATTAAATTGTGTTTATTGTTTTAATTTACTGTGCATTTAATTTTAATAGGTAAAGTCAAACACCAGAGATAAGTATAAAACCCGACATGTTTGTTTTTCCAACAAGAATTTTGTGCAGCCACAAAGTATTCAAAGAGTACAAAAGAATGGTACGTACAAAACATATTGCAACGTGCTCGCATGTACTATTGACTTCAAGAAAAAACATGTACTTATATCCTTAAATCGTGCAGGTGCAGCTTCGAAGTAGAAAACACGTAGTTCGCGTACGTTTCTTCCTCGATCCTACACATGAAAACCTGCGAGTGCGCAATGCTGAGTCCCAGCTTGTGCACACGGGAAAAAAAAAGAGAGGTTTTATCTGTAACTACATGTTGGCGATCAGAACACTACGTTGTGTATGATTCAGGTAAATACTATTTCGAGTTAGTACATTCGATTCTGCAGGTATACGGTTAGGTGTGTATTTTACTCACAATACCGAGACAAAATATCAAGATTACAGGGTATTGAGACCTGAAAAGACTGGGTCTGGAAACCAACAGCGCAACTCAACTACTCAATACACATGTTTTATCAGGAAGTTAAAACAATCTGCCGATCTAAATCCTCCTGTGTTGCTGCAAAGTAAAGAGCTATTGTTATGACTAATCCACCAGACCGCAGAAGTCTATGATGCCGTAATGCGATGAGCTGTCCATTGTTTACTGGAAGCTGCAGAGTGCAAGGTGTACTCGACCGCAACGGTTTGGCCAGTCTCGCTGTAGCGTTCGTCTGTTCGATGTTGACCGTCCGTGAGGCTTACCGTTTATAAAGCGTTGAACGCTTTCAAAAGCGTTTGTATTTTGACCTCACGCCTTACCCATCAGATCCAATTCACTTACCCATTGGATCAATTCGCATACCAATTGGATTTGCAATTCACATAACAATTGGATCCAATTCACTTACCAATTTAATAACCAATTCCAAAAGCAATTGCTTTTGCTTGGAATCAATTGGAATCCAATTGGGTTCTCTTGGTTTGAATAGTAAATTTGGACTATTTCAAACCAATTGACACCATTTGAATGCCAATTCACAATCCAAATGTAACCAAAGAACCAATAGAAACCATTTCAATACCAATTCAAACTAATTGAATCCCATTTGAAAAATCCATTTGATGGGGGAAACAAGCTGAAAGCAAACCAGTTGGAACCAGTTGCACCCCATTTGAAATTCCTATTGATTGAGGAAGACAACAGAGAGAAAGCATACCAATTGGAACCATTTCCCATTTGAAATTCCAATTGATTGGGGAAAATAAACAGCAAAGAAAATATGCCAATTGAAACCAACTGCGTCCCATTTGAAATCTCCAATTGATGGGGAAAACAAATTGGAGAGAAAACATACCAACTGAAACCAATTGATTGCCTATTTGACCCAATTCATTCCAATTAAATCTAATTCAAAAATCAGTTGGTTTGAATGGGCCAATTTTAGTAGGGGTCAGAGTAGATAACTGTGAAACAACTAGAATTGGTTTTCCACTGATATGCTGTCTCTTGGACCTCGTAAAACTTCTCACTCTTGTCCCATGAAATTCTAGAAAAGTGGTAAAAAGAAAGCTAATATACATGTACATGTATCTCCATATTGTTTCAAAACTCACACATATTAACATAGTACATGAAGTTTTTCCTTAGAATCTCAATGTATAACGTGCTTTAGAGCATGTATTGCCTAAAAGTATGTGTAGTTTATGTTGGTGAATTTATGTACATTAAGAGTGGTGATGTTCATTTCAGACTGGTGAAAAAAATAATGCAGTGGTTCCCCCGGAGAATGAGTCTCCTAGAAACCGTCTAGCTCACGTCAGGACGTCAAGTCCATCCACTACAGGAGAAACTGCTGCAAATATTTCTATTCCTACAACTGTAGATGATAGACCATTACCAACATTGAAACAGTAAGTTTATCAGACAGGATAAGTACCAAGATTCTGATCCTTACAAGGCATGTGCACAGGTAGATGGCAGTGGTGTTGCTGACTCATTTGTATTCACATCCAGTGAAGTGGCTCTTTTGTTTTTGGACTTTTCTCAGAAAAAAATGACTTGTAACTTTAACTGAAGCAAATTTGACTTATTGACTATACTAATTGTTTTTAATATGAAAAGCAATCCATACAAAAAATCCTTTCTATATTTTCATCATGGCCATCGTGGTGATTGGGTTAATTATAAAACCATGGGCATGTGGTGTAGTCAAAGGGTTCTAATATCGTCGCATGGCCAACACAAAGAGCCATCAAACAGACTGCTGGCATATGGGCTACAGCTGCACGGGCAGCAGTGATCAGGCAAATTCAAAATCAGCAGTTGTTGTAGTTACAAGCTTGATACTGTCACTTGTCTGATCACAATGGTAGCCTGTAGTGTTGGGTGAATCCAGCATTCTCGGAATGGATTCCGATTCCATCTCAGAATCATGATGCCACTCAGAAGTGTTTCTGATTTTTACTGCCAAAAGTAACATTGCAAATTGTGCATCTGTTAACCACTTCCTGCCGGGGACTCAGGAATCGGAGACGAATGGTTTTATATGCGTGGCCGGGGTCTCCGAAATCGGACAAAGGAAACAGGGCCCTGTAACAAAAGACCGTACTCCGAACAAAAGACCAGGCTGCTGGGCATTACGGACATTTTTCACTCTCAAAAGTGGTGATAATCCAGCCTTCTTTTGAAACCGTATACCAGGGTTTGGGGCATTGAGAGCGAGCGTATTACCACCGGGGACAAAAGCGCTCCACCACCGCAGCGATGAGCCACACAGCACCGCTGCACGCTAATCTGGCCCCTATTGAAAAGAGGTCAGCAGTGCACTGAGCCAGGTTCATGAACAAAAGACAGTTATAAAACACCGCACAATCTGGGCTTTGTTTACAAGGCTGCAGGCCTGGCTGAAATACTCAATGAAGGTCACCTGTCAACTTAGAGTAGTGCCTAAAGATTACTTGGTGTAGCTATAAATGACCGTTAAATGAAATGATGAATTTTTGAAGGAATTTGAAAATGGAAAAAATGATAGTCATGCCGGCCCAGCATCATCAACACTGAAAAATGCCCCGGCATGAAGTGGTTAATAGGGGTCATGTGCATAGTAACTCCTAAGTACGCTTAAGTACAGTCAACGGGTCATCAAGACATAACTGACTGATTGCCTATCATAAAAAAATTATTGCTTTTGTAGCAGGGGTGGATTTAACTTTTTTCTTTCTTTGTACTTGATGCAAAAGTCCATGCACTGTACTGGAGTAGCACCCCCTAGTCTACCCATCCTAAAGTTGCGTTGTGCCCCCAGTGTAATTGTTTACTTGATGATGACTCATGCAACTGGACCAGGCACTGTGGGCGTGCTTTGAGCCCCAGTCTCAGTAAGCAGGTTGGCAGTTAGTGAAGTAACACACCTATTTTATACCATCCAAGTTCTGCCCTGAAAGCTCAGACCTGCAGGTGGACTTGGTAGTGAACGCTCGAGTTGAATTGATCTGTAACTTTTCTTAGGTGCTGTGTTGGTTCTTTTTTTTAGTTTGGATTGGTCTTGTTTTTGTTTGGTTGAGCCTTACCTTGAATTTTTTTTTGTGGTTTTCTTTGGTCTAGGATTGGTCTATTAAGGTTAATTTTGGTCTTGGTCGTATTGCTTCTACATTTTAAGTTTTACTTCTGGAATTCTTTTGGCCAGATTTTCAAGTCTTTGGGTGAATATTTTTAAATCTGATTTTCACACAGTTGTGGTCTTTTTTTTTCTAGCACTGTAGTTACTAGCCCCTTTTTGAATTTTTAGAAGAAATAAAAGATTTTGTTGTTGGAATCAAGTTTCAGCCTCTGTATCCCTATTCAGGGAGGATTTCCTGGCTCTACTACCTACTTTACATGACAATAAAACTTACTAACAAAGGCTCCATTGTCGGTCACCGACCACGTGGAAAAAACTTATGCTACAATTAAAGCCTACATTTCCAACAAGTCATTATGAACTATAATAGTTTCCTCTCCCGTGATACACTGCACAAAAGAAATAAAGTGACCAGAGTGATGACTAATGATTTAAAAATCACGACTAGAACGAAAAATGTCAAAGAAAGTTTTGAGCTGATTGCATTGGATTTAATCTGACGTAGATGGAGAGAATTCGGTTACGTTGGTACGTATCCCACACGTTGGTGCCCTAGAGCTAGTTTGTGCGTTACAGAACTTGATGCATATTGGTACCCGCTCAAAAACTTGTGCGTCGGATTCCTTCACAGGCTCCGTGGCGCATGATGTTACAAAATCATATCACCGGCCCGCGGTGAGTTTATTTACTATGTTGAAAGTATTTGTTGAATAAAAATATTTTTTAATTTGTCAGTCCCTTTTTTTTGATGGAAAGTGAATTTTGAATTTCAAGTCAGCCTATATGTACGCCTTTGTGCCCAGCCACATTTTTGTCACGTAAGTCGAAACCAAGACATTGAAAATTATGAACAACCCCTTAAAAGGAACGAAGTCAAAGTTTTGGTATAATCTCCAACTTTGCAATAAATCCCCTCCCAAACAAAAATAAATATAAAAAGTAAAATATGCAGCCACAAAATAAGCGGAAAAATATTAAACAAAACATACAAGTACATGAAACCAAAATAGGCCTACATAGAACCCAGTTCACTTTGTAGGAGGAGTGGACAGCTTTACCCCACTACCAATTGTTTTACCGACCCGCCACTGTTGCATTGCTTGATAACTTTGTTCCTGTGATTCCCGTGTTTCCCAAGTGCACCTCTTCTGTGCAACTGTTGGCATGGTTGATTTTTAGCACGAACTGCTAAAAATTTTAAGTTTCGCCACGACGCCACGGCTGTTTCATCATGTAATTTTTGGAACGTATCGAAATATAACCCGAGTGAAAAATAAGCCACACAACTGAGGGACTTGAATTCCAGTTTTGAAAACATGTACAAAAACAAGATTCCAAATAAAATATTACAGAAATTTATGGGCATCACCGCCCAATATCCGCATGATTACCGTTGTGCTCTGTAGAGCAAGAAAAGACATTGCGCCTGCAGCAAACACATGTACATTATTAAAAACTGAAACACAATGCACGCAAGCACTTCCCGATCGTCCTGTATGCGGTGAATGCGGTGGCTGCGTTCTGACCGTTCCAATGTTATCGAAGTATTGCATAATTCATGAGGTTATTAACATGACATTGGAGCAGCTTCGTGGGATACCTCATTAACTTGCCATCGCATGAGTGATTTTCTGCTTCCAGACTGCGGTCTGCACACAGCCTTGCAAAACCATGGCCAAAACGCTGTCAATCTGCAGCAACAATTATGCAAAGCCCCCTTGCCTTTAAGATTTTTAAGATTAGGGGCGTGCCAATTAGATGTGTGCATTTCTGGATATTTTTGGAACCGGGTACCCGTTTTTTGTCAACATCGAGTACCCGGGTACCCCGAAAAGAGATCATTAATAACAATAGCATTGGGCACGACCCCTGGTGGACCATGTGCCCAAAACAGGGCTCTTTTTTTGTTCATAGGAAGCAAGCAGCACGTTGTTCTAAACATTGGAGTTAATCTCTCGTACCTTTTTATCAAACAAAATTGTTGCCTTCAGTTTGCAAATTGTCTTTTTGGGGGTATATGAAACAGAACAAAATTCTCACGAGGAACATCAGAAAAGCTGACAGAACTGCAAACCACCTACGCACCAGCATCCACTGAAAGGAAATGTCCTGGATGCTGCATGACCACATACACGTGGATTGCACGTGCACAAATGGTGAACGCTGGTCTCGTCACGTGCGACCAGATCAGTGCTACATGTACATACGTCACGGAGGTGAAAGGTTTTTATGTACTAAAATACTTCCATAACACCATGATATGCACTTATGTTGAAGTTTCTGATTCAACAAACCGCCACCAAAATGCTTCAAATGGTGTTGAATGTATCATAAGTTAGGAGTCATCACTGTGAATTTTCTTTTCTCACAGAGACAAGTTGTATGTATGTTGTATAAACCGACTGCAACGAATCCTTGCTTTCAAGCAACAGACGGCTTTCTGAAGCTATAAACCTGATTGCTAACACGGGCCCAATTATAGTCCCCTTCAGGCAGTCCAATAAAGCCTGAAAGTAAAAGGTCACACAGCAACCTTCCGGAACCCTCGTGGGGTCCTCCTATGGGGATTTAACGTTAGGCCATCCTATCACGTTCACTAATTTTTGGAAGAATAATTCCTTACTGAAACCACACCGTGAAACACTCATGGTGGAATTTTACCTTTCTCTTCCTCAAGTAATATGTAGGAAAAGTCACATGGAGATAGGTAAAAAACGAATTCTCTTAACGACCTTTCACTTCTGGCAATATCATACCTAGGTGTCCATGTTCATGCACGTTTGTTTTCACTGCCCGTGCTTACGTGAAAACGAGATTGTACAACGTTGCAAAGATGTACCTACTTGCAGTCGATGGGTTCCAGATTCCGGTGAGTTGACATCACGCAGTTGTTGTCTGCAAAGGGTTAATAAAAGATAAGAATCTTTTGTAATTGGTGAAGGAGAATATTGCTTTCAGTTTATTACTTATAAATTATAAGACTATGTAAAATACTTTGAACTGTTTTTATTTCGGTTTTTACCGACTGACTACCATAAAATTTCAAACCGTAAAATGTCCATCTGTGTAGGAGACTGCATCATTGCACTGTTCTTCATGTACTTCACATTTTCGGAAGTGCTAGGTCAATTTTTGGCAGGTTGTTTCTCTTTTAGGTCAGGTGATTTTTCAGTTTCTATAAATCGATATACTAGCAATATTTTCCAAAGCCTTTTTCTGAGTTGGATTTTTTAAGAAGTAACTGAAGGAAAAAATATTACGAATTCTAAAATTTTTGCACGTTATTTTTCCTTTCCAAGGGTTCCGGAAGCGCGCCATCAGGGGTCAACTTTCACGCTCTATTGCTGACGCTGCAGCTGCCATGTAACTTCAAAAGGAAAGGTCATGTGACCACACATAGGAAAGCCCAAGTGAAAAAAAAGGACTTTGTGCAGCACTTCACCTTGTAAACAAGACAAAGTTATACAAAAATTTTGCCACACGAAGGTACCACAATAAAGTGGTTAGTTTATTATATAATTGTTAGTATAGCTTCATTCCCTTGAGGTTCACATTGTTGGGGTTTTAATGCATAAGTACTTCAACAAGTGACATTTGACTGGCCAGCTGTATAACTGTACTGTATGCACCTGTCAACCTTTCCCTTTTTTCGAATGAAAAAAAAAACTTAGATTTGAAATGCTTTTGTACTTACAGATAACATCCTTCTCGCTGTTTTGTTCAATTCCTCATCCACTGCTCCGCTGAATTATTGAGGAAATTCATGTTGCTTTTATTTAAAAGTAATTTTGAAACGGAAGTTTGAATGAAGATTACGGCATATTTCTTGATATAAAAAATTAAACTGGTTCTTGACTCTTTGGGTTTATAGAATACATTCAGTGCTTTGGTTACCAGCTAATAATAAGAGGCTGATCATCTGCACAATATGTGCATGACCACAACTTACAGTACGCCGTGTGGAATCTCAGTACCGCTTGTACATGTATATTACACAGTCCACTCTTGCTTCGTCGTCAATCCTGACATAAAGTAGTTTTCATTCGTACTGTTTTATTTGACAAAAATACTCTGAACTCAAACAGTAAGCACCACCACTTCCGAACAAAAGTCATTTAGGCTAACGGTTTGAAAATTACAAATACAGTCATGCAAGTGTACATCAACAGCGCCTCCACCTCAGAAGACAAAATTCCTTCGGTCTCTTGTTCATGTAGGTTTGGTACAATCATCTTCTTAGTTCCGGATTGTGAAAATTATTCAATAAGATTGCAACTACAAAAATCCTCATATTCAAGTGAAATAGAGTCAGAAGTCAACTTTGTGTTTTGGAGATATTATTTGGACTCACAGGATCGACAGAAATGACGACACCTTTCCTTGTTCTGGATCAGTTTAGGATTGAGACAGAAACATCTTCACGAATAAATAGGTACCATGTGGAAAATCCATTTTCAGCCAGAACCATTGTAAAAAGTTGCTTTTTTAATATAGAATTTCTTAATTTTGGGAAAATTAGATCAAAATAAGAATTCCAATGAATTCAAAAGAAGAAATTGCATAAGGTTTGACTCAACTTTTCAACTGTACAGCGAGCTATCAATGGTGCCCTCCCCGCGCTGCACAGTTGACGAACCCATCACATCATTTTTTTCTCTGCTGCACCTGTGTAGTTGAGTAAGCTACAAATTCACGTTGTAACACCGCGCGATCCGAAAAGTATGGGGAAAGCTGTCAGTTTTCGGTCAATTAACAAAAAAAAACCTGGAAACTCTAAAAGTCATTTTGATTAAGCAGACATTAGATGCAAAGCTTTATATGAATGTTAAGTCGGAAGAAGTATTTGAAATGACACGTAAAGAGTGACCTATCGCCCGTGAATTTTAGTAGATAACAAAAAATAGCTGTCGATCGCCGAACTGAAGTTTCATGTCTGACCACGGGACCAGGTTTTCAGTGGCACAGGGATTTTTCAGCAAGTCTGCCCTAATTTATTTACTTCTTTTATGGCCACCCGGCCCGAAAAAAAAAAAAGGAACCGGGTTTTGATATCAATGCGAAGGTACCTGGCACAGGCCTTATGCCAATGGATTGGATTCATAACCACCCATATTAAGCTATTTGTGGAGCATTCATCCTGTAAATTTCCAGTTTGGGGGAGAATTGGGCCATATTCACAGTGCTAAAGTGAGCAGAGACATAGGCATCATGTGTGGATGTACTGCGTGTGGGATGGCAAAAATTGAAAATGGCTCAAATTTCTCTATTGTCAGCACTCATCGTTAGTTCTTGGTTGCTGCCCCAGACTATAGGAGGGTGTTTTGTCGAGACTTCAAGCATTCCAAGAAAACCATGTTCAACATGATGTTGCCTGATGTTTCAGTTTGAAAACATTGTGAAGTAGTTGGTCTGCTGGTGGTTTGTGTGTGGCGCCTTTTGTGGTTCTGCAGACAAAACAAAGCAGCACTCAATAAGTAGCTGTTTTCCTGCCAGTTTTCTTTAAGTCATAGAATCGTTTTGATGTATTCAATTATTTAAGGAATCGCCCAGGACATGCAAGTTGGGCCCGTATTCCAAATCATTCAAAACTTTGTAAAATCAAATTTACAGGAATGGAATCAATCAATTCTGGGAATCCATTTTAGAAAAATGAAATCGTGAATCAATTTCCTAAATTGGAATGTATTCTACCCTATTTCCAGCATGGATTCCCCAAGCTTAGTACATGTAGCTTGCTCAGTGTGTCCTAACATGAAAAGATGAATGCTGTATGATGATAACTCATGAAACTGGCAATCATCCTGTAATTTACACTGAATGCACTGTTGAATGAACAGGCATAAATTAAATAATAAATAAATGTACACACATTGTAATATTCCATTCTTTTGTCGAAAAAGAGGTATGACTGAGGTAACTAGAGTTTCAGGTTATCCAAATTTGAGGTAAAAAGGGTGTACAGGTACTGTAGACACTGTTGAGAGTTTTTGTACACTTTTTTGTGGGAGGGGATGTTAAGTTACTAGTTGCTGATGGACACAAAGAAGGCACTCAGTCCTTTCAATAAACTCAGGGATTGGTAATGATGAGATGAATACAAATGATTGATGGATGCACGGCTGTGTAGATGTAGTAGCCCCCATGTGGCATATCCCATTTAGCCCCCGATATATAGTATACCTGTAGAGTGCGATACTGGCGGTTGGTCAGCTAGTTGCTTGATGAGTATAGTTCATTACCTATCTTATGATGAAAACATATCAACTACCAGGTATGAGGAACTTTTTTGTGTTCTACATGAATGCACAGATAATACTGCAGCTTTAAAGATTATCATATCATCATGCAGCAATGTCCATGTACATGAACTTTGTCATGGAATGTTACCATTTTTGCTATCGTGTGTGATTACATAAAGGTCACAGACCTGTACTTTATTTCATCGTTTTGTACAACATTTTGCGTACGTTTTTGTCATATTTGTTTGGAATGAAAAATATGAAATTCATTGTAGTAGTCCATTTAGCCTTGTTTTATCTTAAAGGTTTCTTACTAAAGCCTTTTAAAACCACTCTTTTTCCTTGTCTTGAGCGTTACCACATGGTTGCTTGTACCTGGTTACATAGTTTGGAACTGGTTTCTGATAGCAATCAGGTATTCAGGTATTGGTACCCAGTTCCAATGTATATATCCTTTTGAAAGATACAGTATAATATGCAGACCTTCTTTCTTTCTGCGTACGTATATATTTAGTTCACCCAGAAATGATGGAACGGAACCATCACACCGTCAATCTGACCAAGATGATGCTGCAGAGAGAGGTGAAGCTGTGAATGACTCTGTTGTGGCTGGAGGAGTACAGTCTGAGCATGTAGAACCAATGAGTGAAAATACCCTAAGGCAAGCTGCAGCAGCTATTGAAATATTTGGACAAGAACTGGTAAGAATCCTTCCACAACCTCAGTTGCTCACAACAGGCTTGGACAGTTTCTGATATTACCGTACCAAAACGAGGTGTATTTTTTCCAGTACCGAATAATACCTACTACCAGTCCATAAATACCATAAATAATTCTTGCTGATTCTTGCTGATGTGTTCAGAATGTTTGTAGAATCTTTTTAAAATTAAGGAAAACCACCATTTCATTTCATTCCATTCTTTGTGGTTCAAATCACGCAGGGTTGTGTGTATTTTCAACATAAATACCGCTGTACAAAAATGAAGTATCGCCCAAGTCTCAATCAAAATGATGTCAGTTCTTGAACATACTGTTATTCCTTTGTTGAATGACAGTGTCTTCCAGACTTTATGGCTATAAAATTTGTCCAATTGCAAATAAGCAAATAGAAAGTTTCAAATGGCTTGCCTCTTTGGATGCCCCGTCAGGTGTTGTTGCCATAATCTTTTGTGTTGCTGATTGTTGAGAAATTTGTCAATAATACCAAGTGATATGCTCGCTAATCTCTCAATTCTGCAGGTTTCCAAACTATTCTCCAAAAACTGGACATTTCGAGAAGAAGCCTTGGGAGAAGTAAAGCAAAAACTGGAGAATGAAGTAGAAACTATTGACAAAGATGAATTGCGTAACATGCTGAGAGCTTCAGTCTTCCTCTCATCAAAGGGACTGAAGGATAAGGTCTTTGCTGTAAGTGGATTTATTGCTGTAATTCTTTGCATTGCGTCATGTCTGTCACAGTGGGTGTTTATGATAAGTTTATTTATTAGGCTTGTTAGAAGATTGGAATATGACATTTTTAGACCATTGTAGCTTCAGTTTTTTATTCAAAAACAGTCAAACTTCAAATTTGCTGTACAGTATAACATCTCTATAGACCATTCTTATTTTATACAATTTGCATAGGCAGTCATAGTTTGCAGAAAAATCACCACTTGGTTGGTTTTGTTTTTGATTTTAGATCAAATTTGTTCAAAAATGTACATTTTTTCCCATTCATTTTAAAGATTTTTTAAATTTAGTATTTAGTAGTACATGTACTATCATGTGATAGCTTCTTTTGGCTTTAAACGCTTGGTGAATTATTCTATTACATTTTTACTGACACCCAGCTGTAGTTTTAAAAGCCATTTGTAGGAAAAACACAAGGTAAAAAGAACAGACCCAATACTGAACACCATTCTCGCACACATTCAGCTATGTCTAACATGATCCCAATTTTATGCACAAGTTTTCCCAGATGTTGCTGAGTTCTGCCATTCCACAAATGTTATAAATTACAAAATGAAATGATAAAAAGATGGTTGATTAAAGGTATTGTCATAGTTTGGTTCTTGTTAAGGTTTTTTGGTAAGTTTCAGTTCGCACAGTGTGTACTTGTTGAGAAAACAGTAAAACACGGCAACAGTGTTCTCCTCTTTAACATTGCATCCATTCATGATCAGCGAGATGAAAGAGAACTGTGGTTGTAATCTTAACCACTACCAGCCGGAGACTCCGAAATCGGAGCCGTATGGTTTATATGTGTGGCCGGGGTCTCTGAAGTCGGAAAAAGGAAACAGGGCCCTGTAACAAAAGACCGTACTCCGAACAAAAGACCAGGCTGCTGGGCATTACCGGCATTTTTCACTTTC